TAAGGGCACGTCAACCAGTGTTAGGTCACCGGATGTTTGGGTTGTGGGCGAGTAGATAGCGTTAGACCATTGCCTCGTCCTCATCGATGTCTTGCTTCTGGACTTACTGTACATCAGGTAAGAGATGACCAGAAATATAACCAACGATACAATAAACAGTATGAGATTTATGGGGAATGGTATGAAGTAAAACGATATCAACAGTAGTATTGCCACAAGTATTGAAATCTCTGTTAAGCATAAACATAATTACGGGATTAATAATTAATATGTTTTTGTTTACATGGGTATAATGTACTGTACATTTTAATGTATGTACATTTAGAAATAACCAAAATAATAAATACTTATTTAATAAATCAATTAATTGCAAAATATAATATTAAACATACGGTAAAATCGGTTGCACTCTAAGGCGTTATGTAGTTGGGGTTCGCCTAACAGGCTATTTGGTCGTACAGTATATAATTGATCTTGTTGACTTTCGTCATTGCGCCGTTTGCCCGGGTATATGCTCTCAACCCATTTCCTATTACTTTGATAGATATATTTTTAATAAACGTAAAGTTAAATATAATACAAAATGATTTATAAACATATAATTATAACTATAAACATACTGTATTTTAACACTACATTAAAATGATGTATTAATTTAAACGCAAATAAAAACAGATAATAATTGGAAATATAAATATTTTTATTTCACTTACAAAAACATTTGGATATATCGCATAAAATCCTTATTTACATTCAATATTTAAAATATTACGTTATAATTATTATCAATCATTGATTACGTTTCCAATGGTTTCACTCTATTTAATCAATTAATTGCAACGAGTTTTGAATATTTACAGAATATTCTGTATGAATGCGTTATCGGACATATGTCTATATATTGGGAGAGTTTACTCTATATTGAGTTGGGGTTAGTCTTATTGTTAACACCACTTTCCAAGAATTACAACTCTAAATGTGTTTCTATATAAATGTCATTATAATATTTAATTAAAACATTGTAATTAAGTTTAATGTTTTAATAAAAATTATTTTTATAATAATTAAATATAAATGAATTTATAATAATTACAAATTACTTCAGAATCTCTCCAAATGATGTTCGGAATCGTCGGGAGATATAGTGATGGGTTCTAAGGGCACGTCAACCAGTGTTAGGTCACCGGGTGTTTGGGTTGTGGGCGAGTAGATAGCGTTAGACCACTGCCTGGTTGTCATTGCTGGCAGTTTTNCCAAATGATGTTCGGAATCGTCGGGAGATATAGTGATGGGTTCTAAGGGCACGTCAACCAGTGTTAGGTCACCGGGTGTTTGGGTTGTGGGCGAGTAGATAGCGTTAGACCACTGCCTGGTTGTCATTGCTGGCAGTTTTCGTGACTTAATGTATATTATATAAGAAATTGTGAGGAATATAAACAACGATGCGATGAATAATATAAGATTTATAGGGAATGGTATGAAATAAAACGATATCAACAGTAGTATTGCCACAACAATCGAGATCTCTATTTATAATAAATAAAAATTAATTGAAATTAATATTTTTATTCTCTATAAGTATGTGTATAATATATTTCCGTTATATTTGTACAAATAACAAATTTTTAATAAATAATATAATTAAAAATATAAATGAACTAAACATACGGTAAAATCTGTTGCACCCAAAAGCATCATGGACCTGCGGCTCTCCTAACAAGGCTTTTAGGCTATTCGGTCGCGTATTATATAATTGATCTTGTTGACTTTCATCTTCTCGTCGTTTACTTTAATATAGATTATTGATTTTAACAAAAATATGTAAACAGAAATGTAAATATATAACTGTTCTTTACATACATCATAATGTTATAAAAGAATGAATAATAAAATTTTTTTAAAAACAAATAAATAAATATTTTAATAACACTTACAAAATTAAAAGCATATTTAATTGGAATTTGTTTTAAATCCGTATTTCGTCCGATTAGATAGCGTTGGATCACTGCCTTGGATGCGTTGGATCATCGATCACTGGTTTTGCAAATTAATTGATGCAATATATTATATGTTATTGATACATACAATATTGTATAACATTGTACTGTGAAGATTATACTCAAAAATACAAACAATTATTATTATTATGGATATCTTGTAAATATTAAATCGGATAACAATAATTTTAGGTTGTTATGCCTTATATTAAATAATTGACCATGTTTACTCACACCGTTGTGCCGTTTACTATAATAAAAGATATCAATATATTTTTTTATTAAAATTATATCAATAATAATATGGACACAAAAATAATAATAATAATAAATTCTTATTCACAACCAATATAAATGTCATTATAATTATAATCAGTCATTGATTTACTTACGTATGAGTTCTCACAATTTAATAAAATTATAATTTATTAATTTTAATTTATTTTAAAGATTTACAGAATATTCTGTGTACACATGTATACGGTTTATAAATAAGATACACTCAATATTTTGGTTGACATAATGTGTGTATATATTGGGAAAGTTTATTATACTCTTGGGTGGGATTTCTTATATTAAGCATCACTTTCTAACCAATTGTTAGTTTCTTAAAAAACTACAAAGTATAATTTTCAATCATTTAAAATAATTGGCAGATTTATATAGTATTAATATTAATTTATATTTTAATTAATGAACTGTGAGTTTAATTATTTTATAATTAATAAATTATTATCAGTTTATTAACAAAATTGAATTAATGCAATTAAATTTAATATGAAAATATACATTCATTAAACATATTTATCACAAATAAAGTTATCGATTAAATCGTTACATACTTTTAGGGAAATAAATTATCAATAAGACAGAGCTTTATTAAGATTCATGTAAAGTATGGGTAAATTAGTTATATTATAATTCTTTACTTTTTTCATGTTTTCAGGCTTTGGAAAAATCCTAAACTTGGACTTTGTGTGCCAAACCATAATTACTGTACAATTGCTGGCCATCGGCTCCAAGTCTGACACCTGGATGTCAAGCGAGCGTAGGAACGAGTCCTCAACGAAACCGGCCTTATATACCATCGAGACGTTGGGTCGGCTAAGAAACAGATCCAAACTGATGGCAAAGCCGGCCATATCGACGCCAAACTTACGGCCCGGACACATCTCTTACCTGATGTACAGTAAGTCCAGAAGCAAGACATCGATGAGGACGAGGCAATGGTCTAACGCTATCTACTCGCCCACAACCCAAACATCCGGTGACCTAACACTGGTTGACGTGCCCTTAGAACCCATTACTATATCTCCCGACGATTCCGAACAACATTTGGAGAGATTCTGAGCTTTCTTTAAATTTATTATTTTTTATTGCAATTGTTTGTAAATATAGTGTTTTATTTCAGTTATTCCTCATTAATAAAACATTTTTATTAGATTGTATTCAATACATATATTATTGATTACTCTAATTATTCCTAATATACGCCAAAAATAATCAATCATATAATTGATAACAAATGACTAAAAATTTAATATATTGTATATTTAATTCTTACTAAATAAAATTGTTTGATGTGTTGTTTAAATTATATTTTATCAGTAAAATAATAGATAATATGAAAACAAGTGCTAAAACAGATTTACATTCCATTTCAATTGCATTTATCAGATGCATAATAATGTGTCAGAAATAATAGATTTTATTTGTTGTATCAAAAATTTTTTAATAAACAATCTAATATGCTTATTTAATAAAAAAAACCTATATACCAACTAATCCATTTTGAACCCACACACACCCAACAATATTAGATTAATTACATATATTAAGAATAAGAAAATATACACAGAATATTCTGTATAGTGTGCTAAAAGTGTGCGATTCTGTGGACTCGAGCGACACGAATGGCTCAAAACAGATGGCATTTCTGCCATATATTGTGTGTTTGCGATTGTGATTGTGTTGAGCGAGTGTTTGCGTTGAACACAGAGAGTGTCTGAGTATACAGTTATCCGAATGAATACACAAATGATTAAATAATATAACACACGGAGAATATATATAATTAAAACATATAAAAATCTTATTCAATTCTCAATCGATTCTTATCTAAGAATTTGTGCGATAAATACTAGTCTATGAGACAAATATATAAGACATATAAAATTAAATGTAAGCGTTTAAATATATACCAACACTTAACCATAGTGTGTAGTTTATAAAGTCCATAATAATAATCACCATCATCTACTAGTC